ACAATGTGAGGGCAGCAACTAGGCCCATGGATCACAATGTGAGTACAGCAGCTAGGCCCATGGTTTACAATGTGAGGGCAGCAACTAGGCCCATGGGTTACAATGTGAGGGCAGCAACTAGGCCCATGGGTTACAATGTGAGGGCAGCAACTACACCCATGGATCACAATGTGAGTACAGCAGCTAGGCCCATGGGTCACAATGTGAGGGCAGCAACTAGGCCCATGGGTTACAATGTGAGGACAGCAGCTAGACCCATGTGTAGACGACAATTATTTGATTTCCTAATTAGCGTAGGTTATTAGTATTCATAAGTTGAAAATTATGGGATGTAAGCCGGGACAGGCAGCAAGACGATCGTAATACGTACACCATATGGTATGTTAAGATTATATTTGATTTTCCGTAAGATATAGGCTTTTAATTTGTAACTTTTTATTTCTAGTGAACCTCGTAATTATAAATCTGTCTATTGTGAATGAAATAACTGAAGAACATCAAGATTATTGAGAATTAGATCGCTGATATAATCGACGAGCGTTTTGCATTGTGTACCCTTTACTGAACCGATGTCCCCACCGAATGCAAGAAGATGTCCGCTACACCATGGTTTACAATGTGAGGGCAGCAACTAGGCCCATGGGTCACTGTGAGGACAGCCACTAGGCCCATGGGTCACAATGTGAGGACAGCAGCTAGACCCATGGGTCACTATGTGAGGGCAGCAACTAGGCCCATGAAGTACAGTACTTTCATACTGCCTAAGATAATGCGATATATGTCCTACTAACCTGATAAGCAGTTGATGAAACGCTTTTCTCGCGGTTAATAATCCCAAAAATGACGCTACTAATAGCAGCCTCCAAATCGCTTGAGTCAAAAAGGGTCTGGCCTGAGAGATATCCATCCTAAGAAACGATAAAACAAAAATAGTTTGGACCGCAGAAAGAGTATACAATACAATACAATACAATATATATATATATATACACACACCGAATCCCTAAAACTTTGACAATTTAGCGATATATATACATATATATGTATCCCCTTTTTCCTATTATCTTTCCTTGAAAATCCAGGTATGACAATAGAAAAAAGGGGGTTACACATATATGTATATATATCTTTAAAGTGTCAAAGTTTTAGCGATTCGGTGTATATATATATATATATAATCGAAATAATAATAAATTACTAGGTAAGCTATAAGGCCTTCGATACTGCCCCATTTCTACTTCAAGTTTATGGTTGCTAATTCTTAATTTCGTTAGCGCCACTCAGTGCTAAGAAGGTAGTATATTAATAGTATATCCTCGTTCTTCGCCGCAGGCCAGAAGAAACGGAGGCTCTGAGTACGAGATTGGGAATAACATTAAGATGTAGTTTACGTAGCAAGTACGTACTCACCACGATCTCTTTGGTTTTCTCGTATGCCTTGACAAGATGTGTTGAACGCGCCAACATGAATATCAACGACCCTTGACCTGGGTCTACACGCATGCTATACAAACCCAAAACAGATATAACAAACGTGTCAATTTATATCTTGCGCTACATAATAAATGCGATTATCACCATGAACATCAACAACGGAGCTCAACAACGGTTATTACAATAACGCGTTACCACACTTATCACTACCACAATCCTTGTTACTATCATCATTCCATTCTCGTACACAAACCCTTCTTAGTTTTCTACGAAAAAATTGATTTTTTACTGAGAAGGGTCTAGATATAAGAATGTTTTAATTTATAAACACCATTACCACCACCAATATCATCGTTCTTCTTGCCAGGTCAAATATAAGCTAAACATTATTTTTGTCTTCGTTGCGTAATCCCTTTCTAGTTGTTTACTGTTATCTCCTTTGCACCAAATGTTTCAGTTACCTAAATTGTTCCTCATGAGAGCTATGCATTACCTGTAACTGTAACTGAGCCCTAATCCTCTGACCTGACGCCAAATAGGACCCTTGGGGAGAGAAAAATGGAAAACAAATCAAAATACAAAATGAATGACGGACGGATGGATGAGAAGATGGAATAAAGGATTAATTAGATGGATGGCTGAAAATGCGAGGATGGATGAATGGATGGATGGATAGCTGAGAATTCAAGGATGGATGGATGGATGGATGGATAGCTGAGAATGCATGGATGGATGGATTGATTGATGGATGGATGGATAGCTGAGAATTCAAGGATGGATGGATGGATAGCTAAGAATGCAAGGATGGATGAATTTATTGATTGATGGATGGATGGATAGCTGAGAATGCAAGGATGGATGGATGGGATAAACAAACTGCTAGACACATAAATGACATTAAGAATACTTATGCGAATAAAGTGACCAAGTATCCATAACACATCAAGCCCTCACCTCTAGGGTAATCAAGCACTCCAGGTATACCATAATAGAAGCCAAGTCCTCATGATCATATGTATTGATACACGGCGAGACTTGTGTTAGATATGACGATTCGACTGAGCCCACGCCAACAATCTTCCCGTGGACCAGCGGTTTTGTAATGAAGGTGCTGGTAGAAGGGACGCTAGGTAAACTGGACAAAAATCAAGACTGATTAGCTGTCGAAAATTGTCGGGAATGACTAGAAATCATCGTAATCCTCGTCAAACACCATCAAGACCATTTTGAAGCAAATCTTCATTTTCTCAAAATCCCCCTTACCCCTAACGCAATATTTTCAGCATTGATTTTACATTAAGTGAAGAGTGCGCCTCGTTTTTTCAACTCACTTTTCGGTGTTTGGAAATCGGAGGAAGAACTCTCTCAAGTGTTTGAAATATTACATATCATCTACTATCATCAGCAACATCAACCATCAGCATCATCATCATAACTTCTGGTAGTATTTTTACTACTAACATCACAGTACTTTTATTAGTCAATAATCTTGCTCATCATTGTCTTTCGAGTAAACATAGTTACCTTGTTGGTATGGTAACCGCAGATGTTTCCGCCGAAAATGTTGCTTTCCATACGTCACCAGCGTTGCTAGGCAATTTCTTGGCATCAGCAGCCACGTGAACACGAATATTTGATAGCTTCGTCAGCACATTTCTTAGAGCTTCTACTTTATCTATGACCTGGAAAAAATAGCGGGAAGTAAATTGGGGACGTGACGGTATTGTGTCACACCATCACACCATTAGCCTGCGTTGTGTAGGGGTCAGAGGTAGTTACAAAAAGAAAAGTCGGTTCTAGTCTGTCCACTGGTGATATGAACTTGTGATTGGCTAAATTGCTGTTAAATATACACGAGACTATTTGTCATTATCGTGCGATGCCCTAGACTAAAGATTCTAATTTAAAACAGAAAAAAAAAATCATAATAAGACCCCAACCCCCTGTATATCATCCATAAACATTAATTGAAAACAAAGAAATTTTCAAACTGGGTCATTTACTAATACCATCATATGAAACAGTTGTTCCCTGGTTCAAACGTACATATTCACTCACCATTTTAGGATTGGTGTCTAGCTCTTCTACTATCTTGGTAAGAAGAACATGCTGTCTGATCATATTCGCAGTGAAGAGGTTGCTGTCTGAGGAACAAGGATAGAACAATATGCGTTGATGATAAGGACAAAAAACAAGAACGATTTCTTTCGTGCAATAGAGGCTTTGCACCATCACGTGATAGCAGCCATGATAGGAGGCAGGAACAATTGAATCTGGTCTTATCTGATTTACGTGAGAAAGAATTCAGTTTCCCAGGAGAAAAGACTGTATTGTTGTGCCTCCTGTCATGGCTACCATCACGTGATGGTGCAAAGCCTCTATAGACCTTTTTACCCGGATACGGCGGCCATCTTGAATTCTATCGTTTTAATCAAGACATTATGGGATACCGAGGGGCGAACTATTGGAAAATTTATAGACTGCACAGCTGTCAGGATGTAGTTTTATATAACTTTACGCTTTTCAATGACAAGCACATCTAAATAGTAATGAAATTTGGTGGTAGCTGGAACAATACTCGAAACACCAAGACTTCAAATTATATGAAAAAGAAAACTCTGCCACTCTATTGCTTTTGTGAATTTTCTAGGTTTGCCCCCTCCCCATCCCATAATTCAAGATCGGCCGCCGTAAAAGTAAAAAAGTCTGTTAGTCTACTGACACAGGTTGTCTGTTAAAGCTTGTTCGAAAAGTCCAAATTCAAAATAACGCCATCACATGCTTGTTTACATATACTTGATGTTTATTGGTGGACCCCAGCGGATTGACCAATCAGGAAAGAGATTAATTCGGACTTCAAGACAAGCTCTAACAGACTTCGTGCCCAGGGGTAATTTTTCTTTCGGAGTGAGAAACGAGCGCCAGAACTTTACCCCTGAGTTTCCGAGGATGTTTTACCTTTAGAGAAGAGGATGCTATGGAGAAGTGTCTTGGTTACCACACGACCTTCTCTCTTCATACTATATAGATAAAGGACGAAATACTGTAAGGAATGATACTCAAATGAAACAGAAGCAGAAGCATAAACAACGTCAAACCAACGTAGACCGACAAACATATAGGCAGACCATGACAGGCACACACATAGTGACGGCCTATACTGTCCCCTGTCCCCTGAAGACCGTCTCCACCAACCCCCCCCCCCCCCCGATCCCCAGTACATCCCTTGTCTATCCCCTTGTCCTCACTTCCATTATCTACTGTGCTACTGTACTGAAAATCCTTCAACAGGCAGGCATATACACAGGCAGACAGGTAGGCCGAAGCCAGAAGGTAGACAGACAGACAAGCAAATAAGAACCAATATATAACAATAAATAGACAGATATAGATGGGTAGGTACGGTATGTAGAGCGTCAAAAAGAAAATGAAACACGAAAAAAAANAAAAAAAAAAAAAAAAACCACGAAAAAAAAAAAACAAACCCTGATAGATTCAACAAAAGAAACAGAAAACAGAATTGATGGCAGACTCACCTTGCAACCTCATTGATCATTTTCTTGGCTACAATATCCAACCTTTCCTTGGTGATAACAGTGTTAAACAAGATGTCGTGCAACCATTTGACTCCTCGTTCATACTTTTCTGCCTCGACCTGTCACAAAAGCAAACATTTTTTAAAGCCCCCTATTATTGTACTACTAGTGGTACGCTAAAAGACTGACATTAATAAAGTTTATTTATTTTCTTATCAGTTATGCAATACACGACCTGAAAATTTGCTGGCAATGACTACTACGTACCCATTACTTCTCTTGAAAAATTTGCCCCGTATCGTAGCAGCAAAGCAGCCCGTCTAAGGCTCATTATATTATATGCAAAAAAACACCTTCAAAGTTATAGTCATTTGACACGTTGTCCGAGATAAGAAAGGATACCTTAGATCCAAAGGTACAGTATGTATTGTGGTCATCATACCTTATATGGTGTTGTTTGTATGAAAGCTAGACCAGTGAAAATAATGTAATGTGGTCTAGCTTGAGTACGAACATTTTTTGTTCATCATACCTAGACCACAATGCACCTAGTTTACCAAGCTCAAAAGAGGTCAAAGCCATACACCAAATTGAAACATGGCGACCAATTTGAATAACTATTGTTCTACGACTGACTAGTCTCGTGTTCACGTCGAAATATAAGAGCTTTTTCACATGTTAGAGAGGCTAATTAGTCTAGAACAATAATTATTCAAATTGTTTGCTATATTTCTATTCGGTGCACAAAGGTCTATTTTGGAGCAATACCTTAAATTTGATGGTAGCAAGCTGTTCAAAGTTACCAGGCATGAAGCGTGAACCTTTTACTCCAATGCAAGCAGAATACCCCAGGGTATCCGCTGTGAGTTCTGCTACAACCTGCTCATAGGGTACCAGGGCTGAAATGTAAAGCGTTATGAAATCAATTATTACACCCATGGATCACACAAGGGTCTGGCAGCAACTGATTATATTCCCTTATGAATAAAAACCTTTGTTTACACTTCAGTAATTTTTTCTGAAGTGCAGGAAAGTGAGGCTACGCCATGATGGATGACTGGAACAAAATATTTGGTCCTTTTTTATTTTGTTATATCATCTAACATGGCGGCCATGGCTTTTTTCTTTGTGCAGCTGACTCAATAGCTACCGTGTTGGATGACTTGAACAAACAATTTTGTCTTGGTTATGTTATGTCATCCAACATGGTGGCCAGGTCTTTTTTCTTTGTGCATGTGACTCCATAGCCACCGTGTTGGTTGACTTCAACATGGCATGTATGTCTTCTTTTATTTTATTTCCATTAGACTGCGAGTGGTCCTACTTGCCCCTCCGGACTCAGTAAAAACAAGTGTTTTGGGATTCCTGTGGACGTGCACAGAGATTTGAACCGAGTAAGCTAATTTTCATGAGAGCCACGTGGGATGCATGCAACCTACTTCCATCTCTTGTCAATGGAGATTCAAATAGAACCTCAAGGAAGAGACTCAGGTATGGTTTGAGGTCATCAGGAAGGACACTGGTGTCAAACAAGGCTGTAATCTGGAAGTGAAAGAAGAGATTATGAGCATTGGTCCACACCAGAAAACAAGGGGATCTACAAGTGGTTTGACAGTTTACATGGTTCAAGGGCAAATCCAGTGGGGCAAAGGGGGCTGAAGCCCCCCCTTCAGTAGAAAAAATGATGCTTTTTTATATTGTTTTCCATTGTGTTGACAGAAGAAACTCGATTAGCCCCCCCCCCCATCCAAAAAGTTTGCCGGGAAAGAAGAATTAGGAGAAACAGTTCTACTCTAGCCTCCTTTGGAGGCATCTCTCTTACAGGGTGTATTTTCCTTCCTCCTCACTTGGGATTCCTGCATCACGGGTAGCCCACTACAAGAATTGATGAGAAAGGCTGTAATCAAAAGAGAGATATCTGCGAATGAGGCTAGTTCGACTTGACATACAACACTGAGTTGTGGAATACACCTCATGTACACCATGAAATGTTGGTGTTGTTGTGTGCTGATTGGATGAAGTTAGAATGCATTGTTTTCATATTACACTAGAACTGGCTGGCCTTGTAAGATTACTGTCATCCTAAATGCTAAATACTAAAACTATAATAATGTCATCCATCCATCCATCCATCCATTCATTCATACTCTTGCACATTCAATACCCTTGCACATACTAGTTAGGTTGTCTTCAAAACTTAAATCGCACATTCAAAATGTTTGAGAATGCTAGTTTTTGTGACAATATTGTAATACAATATTTTTCATGTTAACCCTGAAGATGACCGCAGAGGCTGAAAGCTAGGTTGTAACGAAACACGATTCTTGGGTTGATGAAACAAATAATTTTTACATTACTGTTTGTAGTTTCCATCCACACAGTAAATAAATAATAATAATAATATTTTACAACCACCACTCCCTATACGGGGCTCTTCCGTGAGGTTCCCTCCACACGCACTACCACTACATTCTATATTTACAACATATAACACTCAACTCACATGTTGATTTTTATGGAGGGAGGAAACCAGAGAACCTGGAGAAAACCCTCATAGCATAGGAGAGAACAACACATCAAATAAACTGAACAGCAACCCGACCTGTTGGACTCACAGCGGTGAAAGACGATGCGTTAGCTGTGAACGCCACCCATGCTACCCAAATAAACGATAACTTACCTCAACAAACATGGTCATGACATGATCCAGTTGGAAGGCAAATGGGATTTCTTGGACAGGGAACAAACATGTAGAGGCTTCCTGATCAGCTTTAGCAGAGTTGCAGCAATGACGATTGCTGAAGGTTTTGATAGGGTGGAAGTGGATGCTGGATGTTGACGGAACTGGGATACTGCTGACCACTTCTACAGGAGCTGGAATCTGAATGAATGAAAAGTCAAAAATGAAATTATTGAAAGCACGACAAAGGAAAAAATTGAGTGTTAACCATAAGCATATACAGTACATCAACTTATCTAATGATGCCATTTTTGTTATATTGTCAATTATTTAGACATTCTAATTTGAACATCCTGTTGACTATGCCCTCAATTAGGTAACTGAATGTATATCTAGTTGTAAAGTTAATGAA